GCATGAAGCCTTGAGACTGGAGGGAATGTCAAGAAATAACGCTTGAGATAAAGATTACAAAATGGATCATGCTGGGCTTTGAACCGTTCTTTCTCGGTCATTTGTTGTGTCCCATTCCTCCCACCGAGAAAGAAGTTCAGGGTTGAAGATGTCTGCATGGGGGGGGCTTGCAAAGGATCCTTAAGGGCCCCACGTAAATCATGGTTTGGGAAGGGTGACGCTATATTGGAGAAACGATGAGGCAAAGCTGCTTATCTGTGTGGGACAGCTGCCTGCCAAGGTGATCTGCAGCAACAATGGAGCAGCAGGTAAACTAGTTGGGACACAGACTCCGCGTGGACCGTTCAAGAATTACGGATATGACGCAGACAATGGCATATGTAACGCAACCCGCCGCATTTGCAGAACACTGGTAACGTCTCTAGATGGTTGTTTTCGCAAGCATCTGTAGTGGTGCTTTCCACCGAACCACAGGCAGCGGGAGCTGGTAACCACTAGTGAAATGAGCGGTCTGTGATGCTTACCCCTCATGAAGGTGCTTGAGAGTCTCGTGCTGCTGCCGCACACCGGATTAAATTATGCCGACGTTCAAGGTGGGCAGTCGGCGGTTGACGTGAGCTGCTACAGCAATGTAAGCACACGGGCACCCCGGTTTCCAGGTGAGTGTTTCAAAAGACATTCAAGGTGGGCGGCCAAGCAGCACTGTCAGGACTTTTTTGTTTTAATATGGAAGCATCATTTTCATGCGCATGCACCTATCAACTGCCGCTTTTGAGGTGAACGTAACGTGCCTTAACGCTCAGTGTGGTTGTCATTGCACGAATGCAGAGGAAACACATGTGCAGCAGCTTAATCTAGTCCCTCCCTGCATATCGTGATGCTACTGTGCTCATAAAGCTCTTATTATTAGTTAATATTGATAATTAATTATATTAACAAGAGATATATGCTGTAGACCGTAGTAAACTATAGAATATAATAATTTAATTTTACATGAGGGATGCTTCCCCCCTGAAGGAGGCTAAATATGCTGGTGTCCAAGCGCAGAGAAAAGAGGAAACTGTCTCCTCTGCTCTGTCTCTGCGTGTTCTCCTTTACAGCACCACCAGCAAAAACGGCAACAACAAGCAACACAAACAGAGATAAAAACGGAGACAGATATCCCCGCTGGCTGCTCTGCGCATGGGGGAGAATTCGCTCTCCTTGGCTCTGTCTGTGCAGAACATCCAGAGGAAACAAAAAAGAAAACAACGGAGACAGCGACGGAGACAGAGACAGACATGGGCACCCCCGTCGCCTTCATTCAGCATACGGAGACTCTGAGAGACTGTGTGTAAACTGCAAATCTGTGGCTCTTTCAGTGTCGTGGGGAGTGGAGACAGGAGACTGTCTCCTTTTGAAATGGAGGACAACAGATGTTTCCTTTCTATAGGGGACAAAGCACCCAGCCCAGCATTTGTCTCCTCTGTAGTGGCGCATGCATAATCAGGGCCTGGGGCTGTTCACAGTCTCCTCCTGATGTTGCTAAAAAGGAGAGATTAAGTCTTAGATGATAGACAGAAGACAGTACAGCGAAGTTGCTATAAGGGAGACACAAAGTCTAGGATGATAGAAAGAAGGCAGCAGAAAGGAGACACCGAGCCTACGGTACTAACGAGGAGACAGCAGAGAGGAGGCACCAAGCCCAAGGGTTCCAAGAAGGAGGCAGCAGAAAGAGGACAGCAGAAGGGATACACCTGGCCCATGGAAGGAGACACCAAGCCTAGGGTGGCGGGAAGGAGACAGCAGAGAGGAGACAGCAGAGCACGGTAGAGCAGAAACACTAAGTCTGAGAAGATAGAGAGCAGACAGACTATTAAATATGCTAGTAATGATAGAGCAGAAAAGAGACAGATGCAGCTGCTAGAAAGGAGAGAGCAGAAAGGAGACACCTAGAAAGGAGATAGAAGAGAGGGGACAGCCTATTGGGCTACTATGACGCCCGTATCCACAAGATACGGCACCTCAGCAGCCAGCCAGGGGCCCAGCTGCAGCACACAGCACCCAACACGCACACCAGCTGCCCCTGCAGCTGCCGTTTCTACGGTTACTGCCGCTGCTGCTTGTGTTGCTGCTGCTTCTGCTGCTGCTACTGTTACCGCTACTGCTGCTGTTGCCATGACTGCTACTGCTACCACTGCTACTGTTACTGTTCCTGCTGCTACTCCTGCTTCTGCTGCTGCATCCTTCATCTCTGTAACGAGGCGAGACACGGCAGCAAGAGAGGAAGGAGTACAGACACAGCACCAGAGTGTCGGGTGTATAAGAACGAAAAACAGCAGCAGCAGCAGCAGGAGCAGCAGACCCACCCCAAGGGCTAGTGCATGCGCTATCCCAAACTTGGGGGCATTTTTACTCCAAAGGGGAGCAAAATGAGCGTCCAGGCAAATGCGGCCACCTCTGCATGCACAGCAGCAGCAGCAACAGCAGCAGCAGCAGCACAGCAGCAGCACAGCAGCAGCAGCAACAAAGCAAAGCCCACAAAACCCAGCAGAAATGGAGAGAAAGCGATGCCTGTGTTTGCTTACAAGACATACGAAAAGAAACAAAACACCCCGACATACGTCAAGAGCAAAAGAACAGCAACAACAGCAGCAGCAGAAGCAACACCAGTAGCAGCAGCGGCAACAGCATCAGCAGGAGGACAAAAATCAGAAGCATGATCCGCAACCGTAGGAGCAGCGCCAGCAGCAGAAGCAGCCGCAGCCGCAGGTGTAGCAGCAGCAGCAGCGGTTGACGCAGCAGCAGCACAAGCAGCAGCAGCAGCA